AAACCCAAAGGTCATGGGTTTCGTGAAGGGAATAATCTGTACATAGAATAGTTCTACATCCTGTAAGCATTGATCTAAGATTGATCAATAGACTTTTGAGATTGTAACCATCATTGTCAATCACACTCAGTCTCATCCAAGATTCAAGCTATTTGAGCAGAGCAACAATCTCAAAGACAGCTGCTTGTCTTGACAGCCTTTAGTGCTGCTCCATACTACACCTCCTATTTACAATGTAGACCACTGACTGTATGGAGCAGCCCTGTGCGCTCCGGAAAACAATGGCTCAAGAAGGTTTTGGAATGAAACAATCCACATTGGCTTTACAATAAACTTGGAATGAAGCCTCACATCTTCCTTAAATTGATGGATGATCTTGAAAGCAGAGGGCTACCAAAGCCAAGTTGAAAGAATTTGAGAAACTCAAGACACCTTGGTATTGGCGAGAGATCAGGCTCAGACTACCAGCTCTGGGCACTGTAAACAAAATGTGACACACCTATAAAGGTAATAGTAATGACATGTATAATAATACACCTTTCTTCCCCAGTACAACTGGTGAGATCCATTGCATCATTGATAATGTTACTAAACTTTGCCCAGAAATAAGGCTCAGTCTACTGGTTCTAAACAAAATAGACTAAATATAACACACCTATAAAGGTGATAGCAAATGACACATATAATAATATAAACAATGTGATTATACTAATATTTCCGTGAAATGAATAAATGAGAAGATATGAGAATAATAAGAAAGTGCTTACACATGTTTCTTCCTCAGTACAACTGGTGAGGGAGAACAGTATTTGTGGAGATTGTGATCTCATCTGAAGGTGATACAATGATGAGATATAGTTAGGTTTTAGAAGATCTGGGTTAAAGATTTTGTACCGGTAGTTTTTGTATCAAAATCTAGGTTAGACAAACTGTAGCAGAGAATTCTAAGTTGATGACTGCTGTGTTTGAGATTCAGTATACTTAGGGCACATTAACTCAAGCAATTTCTGGAAATCACATTCTGCAAAATTTAAAGTGTCTATTTGGTGGTGCATGTTTCAATTTTTCATTAAAAATTTACAGCATGTGATTTCTGGTCAGAAATTCCTCAAGTGGACATGCCCTTAACATACTCTGAAACAAGTCTATGGAAGTAGGCAGGTCAAACTGCCGGAATAAAGAAAAACAGCCAACCTGCCGGGTTGACCAATCTGGCTGCTAGACCTGTGGGGCATGCACTGCACCCTTTTTGAAAGAGTTTGTACTAAACAGTGTAGAACTTGAAGCTCAACAAGAATTTTCCAGACATCAAGAGGGATATTCTACTAATATAATTAACTAGTAGAAGTTGCCTGAGGACTGCCTCTTTGGAAGAATCGCCACGGGCTCTGCTGACCTCTTTATTATAAAGCACCAAAGAAATGTTTTAACACTTGCTACAAGTATTGTCTCCGTAATTCAACGAAATAGAAGCAACACCTGCTATAAGGTGTTCACTAGGGGGTGTCACATGGTAATTTTTACACCAAAAAACTGCAAAATGGGAAGTTTTTTACATTCTATAGCTGTTCCAACAAGGGTTGATTTATTTTTTTGAGCTCCCATGCAAAACTTTGTTTTTTTTGCTTTTTTTCTTTTCACAAAGCATGAAGCAATATGGAAGGAAAATTATCCTCCAATGAGTATGTCCTTGTGACCATCCATCTGTAGATTGTTTGCAATACACTTGCTAAATACTTGATGATTGTTGTTCAGCTTTTGTGGCTAGTGGCAAGAACATCATTTTCTCATAAGTTGGTAAGATTTTATCACATGGCCACTCTGTGGCCTGGCCAACACACCAATCAGGTGTGGTTAATTTGATTCTAAAGAAAGCTGGCAAAACCTGTTACAGTTGTATTATCTGCTGCGCTGATGAATTGTTTACAAAGTGGTGATCAAGCATTAGGGGGGTTCAACTTCAAGTCAAGTTTTTTATGGTATTTTTATAGTACAACAATTTGTCCAAGACTGTAAAATTTACTGCAAACGTTGTAGAACTCCTACGCTGTGGAGCGTAGGCAGAGCCTCGAGGGGAAGAAACAACTCAAGTCGGGTAAACCGCCAAGAGCCGTAACTGAAACGCCGTTAAGCTGCCCTCAAAATACAGTGAGACACTTCCCGCCAACCTTTCTACCACCAGAATAAACTTTCCAACCTTGATTATCCAATCTACAAGCTTTAGTTCAGCTTTAAGAATCCCCGGAAAGGTCCTACGGTTCAAAAACAGATGTAAACAAGCTGTTTTTTTACTACGTTCCCCAATGCAGTTCTCCAAAAAACTTTCCCGCAGCAAGCAAAAAAAAATAACAGAACTTTGAAAATCCCTCCAAAACCTTGATTTTCAACTTCTACAGGTCCCAACAATACCCTACACACCCTGGTACCTTCAAAACCCAGTTATTTCCACCTGTAACTGCCCAAATACCCTTACTACCTTAGGACAAAACCCCTAAATAGTTAAGTAGGATATTGAAAATAAAAAAAATAAAATAATAAATCCAGAATTCAAACTCCCAGGAATAAGGGTTTGAGGAAATGACACCGATAACACTCTTTCTCCAACCCTTACAATTAATAAAAGTAAGTCTTTTTTTTTAACTCTTGTTTCCTTCTACTCGCGACTTCAACTATCAATATGATGAATCAAAGAAAGAAAACTAACACTCTATACAGCCTTTTTCTGCTTTCTTTTCTAGAAATCAACTCGATAACACAAAAAAAGAAGTAAAAACTATAGTGGTCTCGCTGCGATAACTCGATAACGATCAAAAATAGAAAAACACACACTCTCACAATAAGACACACAAAACTTCCAATTCAATCACTCCAACACTCCCTTTTATACTCCAGTCCTTCAAACCTAATTAAACCTATTGTAAGTTCGATTTTTTTGCTTTTATCATCCTCATCTTCTAATCTATTCTGATTTCTAATTGAACTGATTTTTCTTTCTAATTGATTGTTTCTAGATCTTTCCAGTTGTTTCAAGGACTCGGATCGGTCTCGATCGAGCAGATAGTCCTTAATAGAGCTATCGATCCAGTCCTCTCACAATCACCTCCCTCTCATTTCGCCACCAGCTTCATCTTATCTACTCAATCAAGCAATCTCCTCTGCATTCTTCCTCTTCAAGCTGTTCCTTCTACAAATAAAAAAAAACTCGATTTTTGAATCCTATTCTTTTGGTAAGTCCTTGATGTGTTTTCTGTTTTATTTATTGATCTCTAATTTTTCTATAAAGATTTTGATTATCTTCCATCCCTTTTAGCAGCCTTAATGAAATTCTATTTTTCAAACTAATCATAGGTGAACATAAAAAAAGAATTGAGATCCTGATTAAAAGATGGTGAAGTAATTGAAGGAGATAATGGATCACTAGATTGTAGGATTAAAACATTTGTATTTAGATTTTTTAGATTTTTGATTTGATTATTTTTGATTGTTATTGTAATTTATGTGACTTTATCAACTTTGAGTTATTTTAAACAAAGTAAATGGGATCCAATAAAATCCAACACTTTAAGATAGTGTAAAAAAATGAAGTAGAAGAGCTGTAAAGTTTGTTGTTGTTGTTTTTTGTTTGTTTTGTTTTTAATTTAGAGTTTTACAGATTAAATAAAAAATTAAGGGAAATTGATTGAGTTTGAGAAATTGAAAATGATAATCAATTTGATTGATAGGTGGTAACCTTTATAGACACTTGAAATGAATATTCTATTATTCTCAGTTTCTTCCTGAATTGTTTGGTTGATTGTTTGAGTTCTTTGTTCCTGATATTTCTTGTTCTTAGTGCAGATATTTTGATTACCACAACGTAAAAATTTGGGACACCTGAAAAGGTGTCCCAAATGCCGTCAACTGTATATTTGCAGAAAAAAAATACTGTAAAATGTCAAAAACTTGGTCCATTTTGTGAAGGTTTTACGCAAAGATATCCTAACTTGAAACCCCCTATTCTTAGAATGGCCGTAATCGCAAAAAATTTCAACTTTTTATAATCACCCGTAAAACACGATTTAAGCTTTTGTACACTCTTCCCTTGGCCATCGACCTAGTAATGAGAAAAGTACTGGTAATAGGATGCAAGGTCCTCTTTGCATCCCCTTGCATCCCCTTGCATCCAATATCAAGCAGTCAAGGTGAGGTCTTTCATTTTTTGTTGTACAATTTATGTAAACTTATGCTACAGCGGGAAAGTTTCTTATGGTAAGAACCGTAAAAAGTTCCAACTTGACACCCCTTACTGTTTTGTTTGCCTCTATCCTGATTTTCCGGTACATTTCAGAAGCCTACCCACCCTTTCCTTCCCTGGTATTCCCGAATTTTTATATGCAAAAGGCCTATTACGTTAACTTATTTGTGTGATCCTCATATTTCAGTTTTTAGTTCTTTTTAGTTATGCTCTTCTCAAATTTTATATTTTATCCTTTTTAAATTGGGTTTTCATTATCTTTCAATCTTTATTTTTCTGTTTATCATCAAGCATCCTATTGTACATTTTTTATATTTTTATATTTTGTTAGTGTTGCGTGATTTTTTGTTATTTTGTTGTTTCCGCTACCACCCCGTAGGGTTGACAAATGGCTCCTTTGGCGCAGAACTCAAAACATCACCAGAAGAATTGCGAGTTGAAGTGCGTACACTCTGGTATGTATCTGCAGAAGTTTTGGCTATGGTATTGTGTCCTATGGTGACTGTAATTTGATCATTGTCCCGTGTCGCGTCGAAGACCTCGATGAAGGCACCCCGTAGCTTATATACTATGGCAATGTCATCGCAGTTTATATCAGTGGACTGTGCAGTCGAGACTATGTTCTTTGTCTTTTGTCTTGAGATATGGCGTCTGCGGTGATCTTCTACAGCGTATGCTGTCGTGCTATATAAGTCGAATCTTCATGAGTAGGAGAGATAGTTTCTGATCTATCTTTGATTCCATAACTTTTTATCTCTGCTTCATCATGATAGCTCATAAGTCTTCTCCTAACCAGATTTCAGGAAGAGTGTTCATTTACTCGGGCTTGTTAATTACTCTACTGCTTCAGATATCAAAGTGTAGTGAGCTTACATTGTTATATCCACCACCAAGGAATAATAAATCTGGACACAAGAATGACTTCTGTGGAGGATAGTGAGTCCAATTTATTGCTAAGGACTGTTTTACAAAAACGTCTTGTCCAAACTTTCACTGAGATTTATATCTCTTAAAACAATTCACTCTGTTCGCCAATCAGTCTCGCAGCCTCCTCACACCGTACTCAGTTTCCTCTCTCTGGAGCAGCCTCAGTCATTGTTGATGTAGATCATAATCCCGCAAAAGTGGCAATCTCCTTGAGTTTATCACCTGATCCTAAAAGTCTCAAAGATTTTGAAACAAACGGTCAAATGAATTATCTCTTACCATTGGGTAAGAAAATCATCACTTCTTAAAAAAATCTACCCATCTCACACTACAAAACAAGCCCTAGCTGATAGATTTCAAAAAATCAGTTCCTACCCATGGTGAGGGACATTATTGCTTCAATGTTGATGTCTCTTCACTACCCAAACTTTCACCAAAGAATGGCACATTGGCAACATTACAAGTGGCCATATCTACTCACCACGGGCGCGAGTATCAGTGTACCGATATTATCTTAACAAAGGAGGCAAACACACCAAAGGTTTTACGTTGTTCCAGTAAGTATTTTTTGTGATTTGTTTCTGTGATTGAAAATTGAAGTATTCCTGAATTATTCTAGACCCTCCTATGACCGGATCACCTATGAGTTCTGACTCAATAGCAGAAGCTTGTACATTCAAACACTTGTTTCCTGAATGCTCACGCCCAAAGGCAAAATCTAATGCAGCCGTTCAGGATATGATCTCGTATCTAAAGATTGTAACTGGAATCTTGATTTGTACTGCAATCTTGATTCAGTGATTATAATACAACTACAAAGGCTCATTCTGGGGTGAAGACGCTATGATATCAAAACCTTCTTGGTTTGATGCTTGATTGATGTTCAACAATATCTGTTTTTCTCTGGAAAACATAGGCACTTTCATCACTTTCTTTTCCTAATGAGCAAGATGTAGGGGTTTTCATCAGGTTTTCATCGCAATCCAACATAACAGGTCTCTCTCTGTAGACTTCACCTCTTTGTTTGGTTTCTATATTTTCCTCTTTGTTTTCTTTTAAGTATGGTGTTTATTGTGAATTGAGCTAGTTATGAGTAGCTTTCATCACTTCAATGTTGGTCTTCTCGTTGTTTTTCTTGTTTTCTTACAAACATCTTGTTTCTGGTAGATCAACATAGGGCTAGTTTTCAGCTATCAACCAAGGATTTTACCTTAGTTGCTCGCTTTGAGTGCCACATGTAAGCCAATCCTTGGCCCTTGTCAATGCCTTGGATCAGCTCCTTAGATGCTCTGTTGCTTGAGGCCTAAACCCAATGACTCTTTGGCAAATATCTTGGCAGGATGTATGGCCATCTCAAAGGAACCCAGGCATCGAAACCTGGGTATAGCTTGAGTCTAGGTTGCCGAGTCTTCTGTATGATGCCATACTTTGTAGCATATTTTGTTCGTAATTATGCTTTTCATGGAGGCGAACATGTTTTTCCAGGTTTATCCTTAGAACATTCAGCAATGCCGCATCATGATCTGAAGGTGACATCATCTTTGTGTCAATTTCCATGATTAATGAACGACATGTTTTGCACTTGCTGGTGCCGCAAAAAGGAGAACCCGATCATAATGTATGCCCTTCACGTTATTCTGATGCACGCAGCAGGATCCATGAGAGGTCAATAGTTATCGTCATCAACTTGATTCGTGGTCACATCTCCTCGAGACATGTTTCTCTGATTGCCCCTTCTCTCGGTTTGAGCATATATGTGTACAGACAATTTTTGAATGTATCGACCCGAATTGAAACGATCCGGACCCACTTTAAAGTTTTTTTTTGAATTTCGATTTCCGAATTTCAAAAAAACTTCCTGCAACCCAGCAACTCTCATTCTCAACTCATTTACGATTCACTTCATAAAGGTAAATTCTTTATTTTCCTGTTAACTCTATTGTTTTCATCCTCATTTCCAATATAGTCAATGAAGCTGACGGATAGTTTGTTATCTGTTCTACTCCAATCTAAGCCTAATTAGGATAAGGTAGGCATCGTTGACCATCTTAAGCTTTGTCGATCGATCAACAGCTACTTGAAAGACGCTCCCAAATAACCATCACTAATCTTCTCTCGTCGCCAGTCACAGTATGGCCAATCGAGGATGTTACAATTGCGGGGAGGGCACGTTACATTTCTTTTTCATACGTTTAAACCAGTTTTAGTGAATGTCATACTAATCTCTGCACTTTATAATTTTGTTTTTTACACTATCTACTTCACTGACTTCTTTTGTCGATCGGCCTAACTTACATCTTTTTACTTGCAAACAATTCGCATCAATGGTCGATATCTGCTTACCGCAATAAATCAAAATTCAAAAAATAAACCGCTGGCGAACACATTTTGATCGCGTGTGGTGTTGTGTCTTTGATCGGTTAATTTTTCGGGCGTCGATGTTCTGGGCATGAATTGCAATGTTCTGTGACGGCATTTATCATGTCTCTTTCAAAAACACTCATGCTCATCTTCCACAATGCTCCCTTTATGCATTCCTTGTTACGTGTCGGTGGTTGAATTGATCTTTGTTCTCGTACCTTGTCGTGGGGAATCGTTTGGGGGTTGGTTTGGAATGATGGATCCGTGGATGCTTGTGGTGTTGGTGGTCGTGGTGCTATGATGGGGGTTGTGGTGGTGTGTCGTTGTTTACTACTCCTTGAACATTTCACCCTTTTTTGTGTTTTTCCCCCTGTCCGTCTATCATTCCACGTCACAATCATGATCTTGTGAATGCAAATGTTTCCAATCTCTACTTCGATCATCCGATACGCTGATCTTAATTTAACAGTGGGTCACATGGCTGCCGCCTGTCCCAAAGCCGGAACTCCCAGCTGCTACAACGTATGTGATGGATTGCATTGATTGTTGGTAATCCCCTGGGTCCAACTGATATGATCCTGCGCCGTGTAGTGTGGAGCCGATGGTCACATCTCTAAAGATTGTTCTAGCGCCCCCGTTCCTAAGAATTGTTACAATTGTGGCGAGAGCGGCCATATTGTGCGTAAATCTTGATTGTGTTAGACACTCATTGACCTTCCCTTCATTGACGCATACAATTTGGTTTCTAGAGCCGTGATTGTCCTCAACAGTATCATGGTAACTCCGGTGGTGGTGGTGGCCGCGGTGGCGGAAACGGTGGTGGTCCTCAATGCTATAAATGGTCTGCTTGACTTCATAAAAGCGGTTGAACCGCACTTGGACCTCGTGATTCAACTGATTGCCTTTGATTTCTCGTGTGTAGTGGTAAGGTTGGCCACATCTCTCGCACTTGCACTCAAGCTGGCGAAAATTCAGGTGGGAGCTACGGAGGCAATTATCAATCAGGACGCGGTGGTGGTGGCTACAACAGTTTCAACAACGGTTACGGTGGTGGAGGCGGTTCCACCAAATCCTGCTACGTTAGTCTTATTGTTCTGACTCTACTCTTGACCTAAATCCTCTCCGATCTTATGATAACGTTTTGTTGTTGGACTGACATGACCTTGCTATACTTGAATTAGACATGTGGTGGAGTGGGCCATCTATCTCGAGACTGCGTTCAAGCACAAAAATGCTTCAATTGCGGTGAAGTCGGTCACGTCAGTCGAGATTGCTCCCAACCCCAATCAAAGACCTGTTACAACGTAAGTATATCCCGTATCTCTGTCCAGCCTTGGCTGTGAGACATCAATTCTTGAGCTAATCGAAGCAAAACCTCACCTCCCCTCTCAGTGCGGTGAAGCTGGACATATCAGCAAGGATTGCCCAACTGCACCTTCTGGCGATACTACTGCTGCTTAAAATCATACCACTTGTTAAGTATCCTACCTTACTCGATAAAAAAAGACATAATGTCTATCATGTGTAGAGTGAAATAAGGGAATATCTTGAAGAATCAACTTGGCTGAATTGATGTCAAGGATCTTATTAGTTGAATGTTCATATATATCCAATCTCTTCTTCACTCTTTTCTTATTCCATGTGCTTTCTCTCTGGTCAATGTCCCAAAACTCAAGCAATTCCTTTTTTGAAAGTACATCAATTCAAAGCAAATTTTAACCCATACTCTTTCATGATGTCCTTGGCATTCAAAGCTTATGCTCATTGTTGCCATAGTATGGTACACTACCAGGTTCAGGGACGACTAGCCAGTCCAAAGAGTGAGTAAAATAATGAAGGGTGCATGAAAAAAGAGATCCCATCTCATATACTAAAGTGCACCAAGGCTTAGGGCATGGGGTACAGAGATGACTATGCTGTTTGTTTTGAGACCTTGAAAAAAAATGAAATATCAGCTTGTAATGTGACTTGTGAAAAACAAATTACATCACAGGTGGGTTCTGTGTCTGAGAATTGCCAGACACAGATCTGAGAATGGCTAGGTCCATATACACTGGTGTCCATATAAGGGTTGAGGACCTCCACCAACACTGAAACTTGGTGGCCTGTGGCCCGGTATCATTCAGGAAGACTTTGGCGCACCCAGCTTGACAGTCTAGCTGGACCATCAGATCATTTTTGACCACAGGCAGACCACCATTGACTGCCCTGGGTCAAACCAGGAGATATTCCCCAGGGCCAGTCCCTCAATTCCCAAACTTATTTTTTGCACAAGTCACCAATCTGCAAAAAACACTTGAAGGACCCCACCAACACAACTTCCTTCATGTAAGTCACCAGCTTCATAAACCACCCACTCATAAAACCCTGTGAATTTTACTGACACAATTGTTCAGCAGGCATATCCTCACACCCCCAACATCATGTGCCAACTAGATACCAATGCAGTGTGTGTAAAGGTGGACACAGCATGAGAATGTTGTAATCTCATGAGTCATGTGGCATCCAAGTCCCATCTAGACACAGTACAGGAATTGCCTGCTCAAGGGGTGGAATATAATACTTACCACCAGCAATTAAAAATGCTAGATCACAATCTCCATCACCACAATTGGACAACATCAACCACCATTTTGACTTACTCCCAGCCACATAAAACTTTCTGATCCACCTTCCCCCCACCATTCCCCTCACACTCATCTGTGGACTTGATCTCAATTAAGCCAAGTCATTTGACCTTGGCTGGGGTGAAAGATGGAGTTTGACAGGCTGTGTCAGCCTGAGACCTAAAACAGGTGGCTTTATGAGAATCATAGCTGAATAAATGTGTGCTTGCAATAGTTATTGAGGCTTTGTTACAGTATCTTACTGAAGTAAATTCAAGCCTAGAAGGTGAAGGTCAGTATTATTTGCACAAGGAGTGCGAATAGATTAAGAACCTAGTACTCACAATTATATTTGGTGATATAATTTTTGGTCTTCTTCAGACGGGTACGTTAGTACACCTGTCTCAGGGTAGATCTACTTCTACTTGAATTGATAAGTGTAACTTTATCAAAATAAGATCTGTGAAGATGTTCAATGGAAGGTTATAGGTTCAAATGTGATCATTAAACAGTGAGACTTTATATAATCAGAGCGATAAAACAATAACGGATTTTACAAGAAACCACGGTATACATGAAAAGAAGAAAGGTATCAAAGATGCATTTCTAATTTAAAAGTGTTTGGCTGGGGTTGGTTGTAAAAAGGTTATAGAGTTTTACGGTCTAATGTTTTAAAATGCGGGTTGGTGATAAGATGATCCTCTTTCTTGAGATGTGTAAGAACCACTACTTATATATCATTGTGCATACCTCTTTGTGATCTAACACACGAGGGATTGTTGCATGCGTTCATAAGGGTCCTTTTGTAACCAATGCAATGCTACTTGTTTCTGATCCCTTAGTCACATTCTTGGAATGTAACTAGGATCAAGGACTCAAGGAAACCTTCTTTGGATCAGGGTCTCCTGAAGTTCAAGTATGTCATCATGGATTCTTTCAAGCTGATGTACATATGTATTGATATCATAACCATCAACATTTACATAGGCTATCTTTGTTATGCCCGAGTCTTTTTGGATGATACTTATGACTGCCAATGGGAGTATTACCAAAATACTACTCATGGCTGACAGGCTGTGTCCAGCTTTTGCAGCACTTGCAAATGAAGTTGACAATGAACAGGCCCATGAATGCTTGGATGAAAAATGTCTTTAAGAAGACATTGCCAAGTATTGAGTCCAAGCTGCTGCCAAGTGGTATCAATTCCAAAAATTCAAGGTCAGTTTGACAATTACTTTTGTCACTCTGTCCCAGTATACTAAATTTTTAGAATGTGACAACAATTTTTGCTGCCTGGTTGATTAACTTGGTAGGGGTTTTTATTAGACCCTTCTTGGTTAGTTAAGTTTTGAATATATGAATTTTAATGATCACTAAATCCTCTTCGTCAATACCTTGTTCAACAAGGGTTTGACTAAGTTTTGATGTTTTTTTATCCACTCTTGAAACTTGAGTGTGAGATGTGAGGATCTTTCTTGTAACTTATGTGCAAGTTTCAAGAAAGTATATAGTGATTGTCTTTTAAATATCTTGTCTATCTGAGGAGTAAGTATGTTTACTCTCCAGGTTGACAATAAATCTGTACACACCTTGCAATGTGAATCAGAAATCATATGCCAGTAAACATCAATGTCATTAATATAATTGGAAATAATTGACAAGGGAAACATAAGTCTTCATTGTGTAATTAACTTCTAACAGGGTGAATTCAGATAATTAGTGTTCTATCAAGCTTATTTGTGACAAGAAGAGGTTGACATGGCTGCAAAACTACTGTGTACCAAAGCTTCCAAGGGTGTCCAAGTGCAGGCAGTAGCCAGAACAGGAGAATTTTGTGGAGGTTCCTTTTTACAGATCTTGAGGCAGGGATGCAGTGCTGTCCAAGTTTGATGCACTAGTTGGTTAAAAAGATTGTTTGTAATATGATCTCTCTTTGGGAGGTGCCTCGTGAAAATGGCAAATTTTGTTGTAAACGTATGTTTTGCAACTGTTGTGGCATGTGTGGTCTGCAATTTCATATCAAGTGGTTGTGCACAATGGTTTCAAAGTTTTCTTACAACAAAAACTTGCTGTATTGTTTCTCAAAGTTTGTGGAGGAAAGTGAGCCAGAACTGAGCAAATCAAGTTTTGACTCAACTGCAAAGTCTTGAGCAAATTGGGTGTTTGCAGGTAAGTTGTGGAGCTGTGGGGCTGTGGCAGGCATGCCTAAATGCTCTCCAGTATTACAAAATAACATAAACATACTGAAACAAAAGAATATGAATAGCTGCATAAGTTTACAGAAGCAAAATCAAATCTCAATGTTTCCTCCTTAAATCCCCTCTCTTATCCATGTTTACAACATCATTAAATATATACTTGTACTTCATTGAGCCATATCACTGTGCCCTTCTCAACCCTGCCAAATTTCATTTGCCTGTTTTGGCATTCACAAGAAACTCACATTGTCCAGACTGATAGACCTGAGTGATGGATCATTCCAATAAAGGTAGAGTAATTTTTATTCCAGATGAATTTTGACATGGAGTGTTGACCAAGTGTACTATTCAATTCAGCTGTGTGTTTTCTCAAACTGTTGAAGGCAATTTGAAAGTGCCCACAAGGTGCCCACTCAGCTGTCTGCTATCCTGGCAGGCAAAAGCTCAGTGGGTGAGCAGAAGGCCACCCATCAGTTCAGGGAAGTAGACAGTCTTCAGGCCAACAAGACCCTCCCGTGGTGTAGAGGTAAATGCAAATTCAAGGTATGTAGAAGTTCAGGCAGGTATCATATTTTTGTGTTGTGCAGTGGATATCTCCTGAAATGGGGTTTGTCCATGTTCTTCCATGAGACTATCCAAAGTATGTACAGTGTAATTGCAAGTGTATGCAAGTGTGAGTGTATGGTTTTTTCCTTTCTTAAAAGACTTTTATTCCAATTGTCTCTCTGTATTCTGCAACAATGATCAACTTTAACATTTTGCCTTGACAAACTGGCTTCATCACCTTCATTCACAATCACACTCTTGTAATCTTGTGGCACATCTAAACATTTCCGCTCATTAGGAATAGAGCTAGTAGGCTGAATTGTCTCAACAGTAGGGGTATGGTATTAGATCTTTCATCACTCCCATCAATCATGCCATCACAAAACATAGGACTTTAAATGAGGCACAAAATGTGGAGCTAGTCCACAAAGGTGTGCCTCAAGTAGCTGGGAGATAGGTTCAAAAGCGAAGTGTTGATCAATTTCACCAAGAACAATTAGTGATTCCCTTTTGAGCACCAATTAATCAATTAGCTGAATGACTTACCTCACTCCTGAACCAGAGTTCTGTGGATTGGAAATAGGAGAAGTTATAAAAGCAGCCAAGGCCTAAGTGCTTGTCCAAATTCTTTTCCTTTGCCTTGTCTATTTTTCATTACCCACTTTCACAACTTTTGCTAAACCTATCAAAGTACAAATCACCGATCTATCTTCCTGTCTGATCATTCTTTAGAGTCTGATCCAAGGATTAATTAACAGATTTAAATCAAAGATAGATTAAATTTTTATCCATCACTCCCTCCCTACAGACCTGGATTTCCCCCCCTTATATGGAAGAGTCTGGCTCCTGCCCACGTCTTTCTAAGAGGCTCCTCCCTTGAAGTTCTGCGATGGGGTAAGAAAACCCCCATCTGAGAACAAAGAGCCACTTGAACTAGCCATCTTTGAAAGAAAGATAAGAGAGGACTAGTGGACCACATCAAGTGTTTGATTTGAGTATTCATTCCTTGCAGCTTCGAATTCTCTGTCTCTATGACTTTCTTGCATCTCGTTGGGGCAAAGAAAGAATTCCAGATTTTCACGCATCTGTGACATCACACACAACATCGGCACTCCTGGGTTCATGTTTCGCAGGCTGGGCATCTATAGAAAAGCATGTGAAAGGCGTGCGCCTGTACCTGACACAGTGTGACAGGCAGTGAACAGACCACGGGTTTTATTCGGAAAGCAGATCGAACCCCCATTTTTTTGGTTGCTGTTGGACTTCCACCTTCTGCCAACTCGCCTCAGCCGAACGCTATAACTTGAAGATATACCGATAGACCAACTCCCCCGGTATACCGCATCTGGCCTTTCAAAAATCGATTCCGATCTCAAACGACCCTGATCTGCTTTGCCGGAACAAATCATCCTACCTAGCGAGAATGATTACACCTTTTGTCTTGAGAAGGGCCTCGTGCAATGTCTATGGCGGCATTCTTACTCGCCGGTCCGTTGCTCAAAAGCGTCAGTCTATCTCTGTGATAATTGTATCGTGGCGTTCACTGCTGTCTCATCGCATCCTGATATCTCAGCTCTTCTTTTTTCATCTTGACAGCATTTCATAGCTCTACGTCCCCTAGGGCAATTTCACCACTTCGGATGCCAGCTCTCTCTCCTACTATGGAAAGTGGTCAAATTTCGAAATGGAACCTCGACCCAGGAACAGCTTTTAGCGCTGGTGACATCCTGTTGACGGTTGAAACGGATAAGGCGGAGGTGGATGTTGAGGCTCAAGATGATGGTTATATGGGTCAACACCTTGTACCGGCCCGTACGGCGGTCAAGGTGGGTGAAGTGATTGCAGTATTGGGTGAAGAGGCGGAAGATGTCAATAAATCAGTTGAGGTGCCAGAGGCTTGGAAATCGACTGGTGATTCCTCCGGATCCATTAAAACAGAAGATTCACAAAATAAGATCAAATCAACCGGAACGTCCGACGGTGCATGTGCTTCAAGTTCATCGGACAACAAGAAATCCGCTGCTGAATTTGGAAATCTACATCCCACTGCAAAGATGCCGCTGAGTCCAGCTGTGTCACGCCTTCTGATCGAAAAGTAAGATTATATCACCATTCATGCACTCACAGTCGTTAATATTCCTCCCCTGTCATCACTGTAGCCAGATTAGCGATGCCACCGAGATTAAAGGTACAGGGTTGAATGGTCGGCTTACAAAAGGAGATGTTTTACTCCACCTTGGTAAAGTCTCTTCTCCTGTCGGCTCAGCACAGAATATGATAGACGATGATGCACGCTCAAGGGCCTTGGAGAAATCAAGCCTCTCTTCAGCCACGTCCACATCTGATTTGAAGCCTCAACCAGTTCAGTGTTCCTTTCTCGGCTCTAAAGTCTGAACTTTGAGTTGACAATGTTCCTTAATTTGCGTAGCCAATTGACGGACCTACACTTCGTCGACTCATTACTGAGGGTCTGGCACTTGTTTCTCAATCTACAGAAACTCCTATACGTGAGTCAAATATCTTATGATGCAAGATTGGTCTTGGTTACATAAACTGACATGTTATTGTACATTGAGGAATAGCTTCAAAACCCTCTGCAAGCTTCTCATCAATTCTTGGAGATTACCATTCTATGATTCCTTTATCTACTCCCACCTCTTCTATCCCACCTCCGCCGACAAGGGATACATATCTAGATGGACTCAGTTCTTAAATAGAGTTGACTTTTGGGCAGTTTACAACCTTGAATTTGAACAAACAATTGACCAGCTCATTGCGAAGCACCCAAAGTATAGCGGGTTACATTCTTGTGTATACCCTTCCTTTTTTGTAATGTAACATTCATTGATAGGCGATTCAGGTAGACTTATAGGATTAGGTCTAGTCGAACTGCATTGCTGAAAAGCATTCACAGTTTTCAATCCTGATATTAGACATATCAGCTGTCTATCGACTTATCACTCAAGATTGATCCTTACGTAGAACCCATGAGGAGCGGCATGTTTAAGACCGAAATGACCCTACAGTCAGTGACTTACAAAGTTCATCACTCTTTCTATACATTGCTTGGAGTGCTTTCGAGCCGTAGGACTATCAAACAATGGTCTACGTACTGTATGTGCACCTGTCCGATACAAACCCTGGCTGTTGGCACAAAAATGTCAAGCTGAGCTTGATGGGCTTGGTGCCTCGGGAACGTAAGATTGTATGATTTAGATTGACCTTGCTGGGTACTGTCTATCGAGGAAGCAAGTGATGTTGCAAGCCCTCATGCAAGGTACCCGAGATGGGATGAAGATGGTCACGATTCTATGAGCGTGCAGCGAGTTCCTAGCAGGATTCATCGACGACTTCAGTTGTACAAAACGTACAAATTCGTAGTCTCTGAATAATTGAAAGTATCCTTTTCAATCTTCTGTGCGTGGCTAATATCAGTAGACTATCTAGCTCAATAACCTACCCTTTGACGAGGAGAACCGGCCTTGGATCTTGCGTTGCTTTGCATCAACTGCCGCTACCTGGTAGGACCAACTGCATGTCGAGGTGGATAGCATACTCGCAACTCTTGCCGACTTGATACCTTCGTAGCTCACCAATCAAGTAGTCTTTGCAATAATATGTGCGATATAAATTTAGGTACAGCTAACTGGCCAGGTTATAACACCTTCGATCAGGGGGTTTGAAATAAAGACAACAGCTGATCGAGCTTCACATCCTTGATAAGAAGCGCACGATGGTCGCATTTTCGCTTTTACACTAAGTTGAGATCAGAGGAGCTTCAGAGCTTGCTAGTTGAGTGGGCCGATAGATAGGCGACCCCAATCAACCCTTATCACATTTCCCCAAAACTCGCTTTCAACTGACCAACAAAATGGTCGTTTTGCTCGATATAAAATCAGTATATAGCCCAAGAGAGTTGTGGGATGCCTGAGTGTCCTACACCCACTAGATCTAAGACCATCTACACAACAACGTCACCCAATCTTGGTCTCATCTGAGATAGACTTTCTATCGTGTTGGAATTATCTTGTCATGATGAATCGAGTGATCAGCATCGGCTTATTCATTTCATTTGCAATCCTTTGCGAGTATCAAGTCTCAGCTCTATGCCATGCACTTGGTCCAACTTGGGGAACTTTTCAACAAAGAACTGAATTAGATGATATCTTACCGGAAGTTTGTCGTCAATTATCAGGAATTTATCCACCGGAATCTTCGGCTTCGAGATGTATCAAAAGTACTATAACCGGGTATAGAAGATACGACTTTTATTGGAAAAATACTATGACGGAAGAACGTGAACTTGATTATAATGAATGTATCGAATTCATTAGATCTGATATCAGATTTTGTCCTAGAGGTGCTAGTAACTTTAGGTCACCTGATTGGTATTGGATGTCAGTTTCAAATTATAAAGCATCCTTTTTCTTTCTTCCCAATCCCAAAAAATTCTGAAGATGAAAGAAAACAGTCCCACTCGTTTTAACCGCCGAAGCATTCATACTACTCACGCTTGATTGTGTGTTCTGCTGTTTCATATAAAATTGGACACGAATAGCTCTGACCCGGCTGATGGAGATTGCGATTGAATGTGGAAGTGGATGACATTACCTTGGACGTGGGAACATACTCGGTATATAGACTCACCTCTCATTAGCTATATGTACGCAATGAGCCTGACTTTCTTTGTTACTTTTGTCTAGGTATCATCGATGTAGCATGGTCTGAATTCCTGATAGCGTGGCCTGCCCATCACAAGATTAGTGCAAACAATGATGAACTCTGGAATCACAGTCTATGTAGTAGAGTTTGTTAATCATTACAATTTTTGTTTATTTCTCTGAATTTATATCATTCATATGATGTGTTATATCTCTCTCTTTAAGTCTACCTATCTTTCTAATTTCTTCCAAGAATATGAGGAGAGGTGAAGTTGCAGTCATCACTCAGAATGCATACTAGAGAATCCAAATTTGATAGTCAGCTGAGTTTGAAGGAGTGTCATTTTCAATGACAATGACATGATTATGGAACTATATCTTTTCCACTTTTTAGGATATAGAAGTCATGTCATTCCAGATAAATCAGGATTTGTTTGTTATCTTCTGGGTTATCAGTCAGATCAGTTTTCAAGGCGTTGTTGAGGAGATCGAAGAGCACAATCACCACATTCAAGCATCCATTCAAGTGCACTTGAAGGTCTCGTTTTACCTGCTCCCTTCCATCTGCTTATCTTCTTCACAAAAATAAATCTCTTTGATGTTGGTGAAGTAGTTTTGAGCAAATTCTCACATCACCAGCAATTACATCACTACAAAATCCAAATCCATTGTGTTGATTCCTTTGGTTAGCTCGCAATGATCACCGGAGCTTTATTGCAATGTGTCAATAGATGAAGGAAATTTCATATGTATTCCCACATCATAACATAGATTATCAAGTTGTGTCAGCTTGAAAGTAATGCCAAGACATATTTTCTTGTTCTTGGTTTTGTGGAAGACTACTTCTGATTGTGATTGGAATGTTGCCTGAAATTATACACAGTAAATAATCGAGTGGCAAAGAGGGACTCAATGCGCACTGATCATCAGACAAAGCTGGTAGACGTCTTGTAGAATAGCTAATTTTAACATTTCCGCTTCTTATCATGCTAGATATATGTGCACGTGGAGTCATGGAGACTGGCAGTCTGCTAATTCCATAACGAGCTTATCATTTAGTTTTAACAGCTAATGCAAGATATATAAGGATCTGAGATATCTTATCCATATAAAATTAAAGAGAATCAAAGTAATCTTGAATGTGTTGTATTCCAAATGCAGGATAGCAGAGACTGATATCACAGTATTTAAAACAATCCTTGAGCTTGAAGGTGAGGGGACACTTCGTCGAGCACGAGGTATGCGGTCAAAGAAGCGGGGTGCTGAGTTGGAAGGAATGGAACGCCTCAGCTTGCGGAGGTCCTCTTTCATAACTGCAAGGCTGAAAACTGAAGAGGAGAAAGTTGGCAGTTAAGATGATCAGTACATACCAACATAATACCTAAGATCCTGTAACTATGTATCGTATCTCTCACATCGGAGTTGTTCTGAGATGATCAGGATATTGCTTGACCTCAGCAAGGCGTTTGATCAAATTCACTTCAGTTAGAGAATTGATTTGAATATTCAATGCAAGTCTTCACTGAGTCACATTTTTACTTTGAAAGTGCAAAAGTAATTGCTTTTGAACTGTTTACTGTACCTCAGGAGATGATCCGTTGGAGAAGTCTGTAAGAAATTTATCCTTCATAAGAGCATTTGGATGAGATGATACTCAGAATGGCCTGAAGAAGCTCACACATTGTTCAGGTTTGTTTCCCTTCCTACCACGGCAGGCATCAATTAAAGTGACATACTGTTGACGGAATCATTCAATTTCAAAATTAATGTAAGCAAAAGCAAATGTCAGTCAGCTTAAGCTAAATGCCGGACCTTCTTTATACAAAGACATCGGATATCATTCTAGAGCTTTTGGTATCATGCTTCTTGAGTGGAACGATGAAGCACGAGCGGCAAAAGCTGCAGTAGTTGAAAAGCTCGGCTGAAAGGAATTACGTTCTGATTACCCACAGAATGATTGAACATTACGTCCTATGTTGGAAAAGTGTTCCATAAGAAACAAAGCGTTGCATTCAAACAAATCCCACCTAGATGAAATGAAAATGTAAAAAACGCCTGCAGTAAAATATCAGCTTTTCAAGGCAAACAAACTTTTCAAATAGGTGTGATCAGCTTGTCCGCTTTTCCCAAGTGCTGAAGCGATCCCCTCATTTATGTCTATAAAGGAGCTACCTAATAGGCTTCATGTTACTCTTCACAGGCATTTGATTCAATTCTATTCCTTGACAAAGACTTACACATCAATCTTGGGACGTCAATTATCTTTAACCGACCAACCCTACTCAAATTTTACGATACGCAATGGCACAAAACAATGAACAGCTCGACGCTAGTTACCGTCAGCTTCTATCTCGAATGGAAGCGCACAGAAACCGACTTGCGGAGGCGATGGCAGGTCTAGATACTCTCGAAGTCATGCCTAAGTATATAGCTGGTGTCTTATCCGGGCAGTTATTGGGTGCGGTACTGCAGACTCGGCCTGAAAGTTCACAATGGGATTCGACTGCCGAACTATGGTCTCGATGTTCTCATCACAATGAACAAATGCTTGACATTCTCGTATTGATTTCACAAGTTTACAACGTGGATATATCTTTCATTCATCATCTTCCTCAGTTCCGATCTGCTGAATGGCGTGCGCTCTTCATACTCGTCCGGCTCTTGTCATACAATGTTCGTGATTCAATATGCCCGCTCCCTCAACCGGACACCATCGGCAACGGCGACATGCAAGACGCGAACACTGATGCCGAGGCTCTGATTCCATACAATCCAGAGACAGACTGTCCTGTCTGCCTCATGAGTTACCCAAGATTCGTTGAATTTCCCTGTTTTCAAACACACAAAATATGTGAGAGGTGCCTCTTTCACATGGTGTCCCGGGGCCGGGTGGCATGCCCGCTGTGTAGAGCCGCCCCATTTGCAGATATGTAATTTCACTGATATGAACCCTTGTCTTTATGTAAATAGAATAATAGATGAATGAAAACAGATTTTTGCATGAGATTCTGCACAAGTTATAAAAGTCCGACCTGTTTTTATAATGACCACAAGAATATGTTTCGCAAATACAACCTTGAGAGTCTCTAGCACAAAGGCTTGCTAGACATTGCAAGCAAAAGGGGAAAAGACATCAGCTCATGCTTACACTTCAAAGACAATGTATTTGCCCACAGTGAATAACAATTGCATTATGGAAAAATGGTGAACAAAAAAATCTTTCTAAAATTGAGGGCTCAGTTTGGGCCCAAAATTCTCAAAAGCAGGTCTGAGGAGAAATCAATAGTAATTTGACCTGGTTTCACAAAACCCGGTCAACCCAGCTGACTTTTTGGCTGTGAGCTGTCAAAAAACGTCAACTTGATACACAAATTGACTGCCAAAAATCAACTGGTTCTAATGTGTTCTCTTGAAACCAGGTCTACTTTGAGCACCACTGATTCTCTTTGTCCTGGAACATTTTATTTCAAGTGGCTTGAAGCATCTTACTCAGTATCAACTCAGCAAGAAATTCCTTATGCTTTTTCTGGCTTTTTAGAGCTCACAGGAGTTCAAAAAATCCAGAAAACTCAGGACAGATCATGTATGCCCTTTGTGATGTGTGGGGATTGATTTGGATTCTTTGGTACCTTTGTGTTGAATAGATGTGAGGTATAACATTAAAAGTTGTTCTCCGTTTGCCCCATAAATTGCAAATGCATTTTGGGTCACAAATGCATCAAATCTTGACAGATTGTCTCTAAAGCATGTCCAGATAATTTCACATCCTTTGTTGTGTTGCAAAAAATGTTTTTGGGTGGTTTTGGAGTCTTGTACATATGTCGGCAGGTTCAATTTTATAAATCTTTACACCATGAAGTTTTGATACCCACACGTGATGACTTACATGCCAAGCCAGAAACTTCCAAAAAGAATGATTGACAAAGGTGGAATTGTCCTTTGCTTGTCAATTTTTTTTTAGATTTTTTTTGTCACTTTTGGAGGCTGGATTGAGTGAGAAAGTCCTGCATTTTTATGCAGTATCTCATGAAAAGCTTGAAAATCACCAAACTGGGTGCTTTGATTTTTCTACATCAGCCAACATCCTCCAACAGGAAGAACATTGCACAATTTGAACTACCTGATTTTTTCCAGATTTTCTGGACCAATATCAAGCATACAATTGCACATATCAATTCCTAGTTTCAATCATTTTTCACTAGGGAGAAATACACCATCCTTGCAATGTTAGTGACATGGTCCAATAAAAATGAAAGCTTTTTGTGGGTGTCAAACTACGTCTGGGGATATTAACATACTGTGTGCCATATACAAGAAATATAGAATGTTCAATGTTCAATACTTTTAGGCAATGTTCACCGTGTCTGTGTAGGCTTGGCTAGTTGACAAGCGCACACCAAATGCCTTTGAGGCAGAAAGGGAAGTCGTGCGCGCTTGTCAACGAGTGAACACTACCCGGACACGGTGGTTGGTCTCTATGTCTGTCAACACATCCTTACAATCTTCTCCTTATGGAGAGGTGGCAAATGGAGTGCTTGCACCACATGTAGGGAAAGTGCTTCATTATGGTTGATGGTTGCAACTAGTATGGGAATCAGGGCCTTGTCACCACTGGTACAAATTGAAGGATATTGGATCAACTTGAGCTTGTGCGCTTTGATCAAATAAGGCATGGATCTGGCCTCTGAACTAGGGAGTGGTATGAGATATGTACTCACCCTGTCACAAGCAAGGTTTTCCACATCTCTGAGGTGTTTGTTATATTCTATGAAAGACTCTTCTACGCACTCCTGTATAACCAATTAGTTTGAGACAAAAAGAATCCACAGTAACAATACACATATTTGCAGAGTGAAACATTTTGTATGAACTGTTTTAATTTAAAAAAAATCAAAAGCCAGACTTAGTATGTCAGCCAACAGGCTACAGAAATCTCTCCATGTGGTGGCTTCAAAGAATATTGATACTTCATTCAAGTGGTGTACTTTAAGTTTTTTTCTAATGTTGACTAAGGGTTTTAGATAGGTCAATTTTGTCTGCAAGAAGATTACTGGATCTCACTTGTGTTGCCAAAAATTCAGAGGCTTTTGCAATGGATCCCACTATTTAGCGCCCCCTTGGCAGATATCCGGTGCCCCCCGGGTTTTGTTCAATACCCATGCGGCCCATTGATACTCAAGAATTTTGAGCCTAAATTTTGCACACTCGGACCTTGGGTGCTCCTTGAGGGCTCCCTAAGAGGGCACAACTTCACAGATGTGCCCTTAATCTACCTTTTTGATGCCCTTTCACCCTTGATGGGGCATCAAAAATCTTCAAAATCTTTGAAAGGGCGTCTAAGTTCTTTTGTGCCCGGACCGGCCCCATGACTGCACGGACATTGGCCCCTCAAGTCACTCTTTTCCCTTTTACACTTTTTCTGTCTTTCCTGTTCCCCCTACTGATAACATTTTCAAATTTCAAACAGCCACCTTCAACACATTCATCCAGCTGCAATCAATATAGCAGTTTCTCCTTGATAAACTCAAGCTTGTAAAACCATGGATTCTAAGAGCACCCACTATGGTGGGAGTGTTTTATCGTAAAGTTTGCGTTCCTGAGCGCGAAGTTTGATCATGCGTGTTTTACCAAAGTTGGTAACCGCGTGAAATCCACTATGGGATGATTTATCGTCTGCTTTCCCTAGTTCCTACGATACATCAAGTCGTAGGCTTGCGTAAATCTGAGCACACGAAGTGCAAGACTTGACGCAGCCGTACGGACCGCAGGTCTAAAACAGGTCCATAGTGGACATGTTGGTATTTTAGCGTTAGGGTAACGCTAAATCACCGAGTTAACGCAACCATAGTGGGTGCTCTAACAACGCTGGGCCGCTGCGTTGCGTTTCACGCAACGGAGGGTTGCATTGCACCGCAGCGGTGTTTTTTTGGCTCAAAAGGCGCAGCGAAGCGGGCAATGAAATTACCCGATGCGTTGCGTGTTGCGCAACGCCCGCAACGCCCGCAACGGCGGTGATGACCTTCAAAACCTCATTATGAAGGAGTAGTGCAAATATATTGTTATTGCATTGTTTACTACGTGTGTTAATATGGAAAAGCACTTGTAAAAAAAATAAAAAAATCCTAAGTTCCACCTTTTCTGCCACCAAAAGCCTGAATCGCTTTGTTCACCTCGGTGTACTTGTGCGCTAAAGGTACCCCTTGACGTATCCAGAGCCTCGCACCCACACAACACTCAATGGTCTTTGGCACGAGTGAAACACGATTGGATGAGCAGACATCTGCAGCAGCCGAAAATGTTCTTTCGACTGTAGCCGACCCGCTTGGAAGACTCATGTAATCTCGAGCTAGAGCTGCTAAGACCGGAAATGCCATACAGTTCGTCTGAAGAGATCAAGATTGTAAAACATATAAACAAATTGAGTAAAGACGTGTATGAAATCAAATGTCCACATACCTCCCACCATGGCAGAATAGCCTTGCTTTCCCGTGCGTCATCGGTGATAGCCATTGGTTGTGATCCTTTCATATAGGCTGTAACTTTGTCTAGCTGAACTTCGGGCTCTTGAGCTTTGAAAAGCTGGAAGACACTAGTGGTTGCAATTCGTGAGTTTTCCTTGGGTGGTGCAGGTGTCTCCTTAGGAGTGGCTAATGTGACCTCTTCCTTTCGCTTGTTGAATTTGCTTCAAAATAGATTTCCTGCACGGACGGTGTGCGGATGTTGGGGTCCAAAAGCCTGTTCATAGAATGCTAGTCGAAAGAAGGGATTGAGGAGGCTTGCCATGACCGTGGTGTCACATCACAAAGCCTCTTCAAGATACTTGTCGACACGAGCTTGCATCGACATGATCATAGGTAAGAGGGCATCCCCAATCTGAAGTTCCTTAGCCCGATTTGCAAGGTGAACCTTCAGCGCATAGAACTCTGGGATTACCATGGATCCTGTCGGTCCATTGCCCTCCATACGCTTGGTCAGATCAAGGAGCGGCTGTTAAAACAACTGTTTTAGAACACATGACAAGGTTAAAATGAAAGTTAGACTACTTACTTCAAGTTGCTAGTAAATTCCTCAAGCGAGTCCCAGTCATTGGGAGTAAAGTAAATCTCATGGAAATATCCGCGGGTTTTTTAGAAGACCTAGCTCTTTTTTTCTTGCTTCTAACTCGTTCGAGGTCCTTGGCAAGAAGTTTGTTGACAACCTATAATACAAATGCACAGTTGGATAAGTAATGATAGGTCAGGTGGATGCTGTTCACCAACTGACCTTGCGTGCCTGCACTAAACAATTGAGTGAGTCGAATTCGGCGTTCCATTGAGTCGCATTATATCCTGGTATCAGCGGTAACAACTTCAAGTTTAGACTTTTTGCTTTTTGAGCAAAATGTCTTCTCCATGCCTCAGATCAAGCAACTCTGCGTGAAACAAAATTGGCCTAAAGTAACCAAAAGACATAGTCAGAAAAGTAACCATGGAACTGCAGAATGTGAGATAGGGGAGGGAGAGGATGTGATTACCTTACCAATCAGAATATTAAGCTCGTTCGCATGCTTCCTGGAAGCACTATTTTTGAAAACATCAAGATTGGAGGCTTCAGTCGACTTAATGGGATCATCATTGTCCATTTGATCCTCCACATCTTCATCATAGTCTGGAGCACAGGCTACCAGATCTTCAACCTCTGAATCATGATTGGTTTTGTCTTCTTCTTCTGGTATGACTTCATCATCATCGTCTTCGGCTTCGATGACAATCGTCTTCTCTTGGTTTTTGTCTTCCTCCTCTTCTGCAATGACTGGCATCTTCTCAGATATTGGAAAAACTCCTAGAAGTGATTCGCGCTGTTGGTCTCGTGAGGGTGTGGAGCTTCCTAGTTCGGCCAGTCCACCTTTGACGTGGATGAAATCTTATGCAGGAAACAGCGATGATAGTCAGTTT